CATCTGGACCCTTAAGGGAAAAAATGTAAGCTGTGGTAAAGCTGCTACAAAATAATCAGCATTAGCAGGCTCAAAACAAAACCAACCAGCAGACCGGGACTCTTGTCTTTCTTAACCTGTGCGCCACCTTGTGACAAAAAGCTGAGCAGCACTTGGAGAAGGAAGAAAATGCCCTTGGCCAGGCATCAGGGGAGGGAAGGTAAGGGGCCCAGGGAGTACGCTCAGCATTTCCTTGGGTTAACTCTCAAACAGGCTTATAGATAGGGCAGCAGTCTCACACAGCTGGCAAGCGGCAGAGCTAGACTAAGGGAGAAGTAAACCAGCCTCAACACAATCAATGCCCATGCAAGAACCCTAACTACAAGCCAGAACAGCAGCCACGCCATGGAAATATTACTCCCCTACCATCCTCTCGTCACCATTTTTACTCCCAATCTACAGGAAGTTACTGACCTCTAGGGACCCAAGTTTCTGCCTGTAAATAGTGAGAATGGCGGAGACAAACTGCAAGAGACAGAGGTCTCAGTTGAGCAGGAAAATAATCCTAAAATGAAGACCTACATAGGGATGATTGAACTGGCGATGTTGAAAGAGGAAAGAAATGGAGACAGAAGGATCTGAAGCTCCTCAAGAGACATTTTTTCTTCCACAGCTGCCCAAACACCTCACAGCCAGCTCAGCCACGTCAGATGCCCCATGGCTGCGCCAGGAGACATTTGCTTTGGCTGCAGGGGCCTCAGATACGAACCTACCCGATTCCCCTTGCATCTCTTTGGATGACTCTGCATCTCTGTGTCCCACATTTTGTCTCTTATTAGGTCCTCAAGGGGCCCCTCCTCTACCCATGACCAAATAGAAAATAGGGCACGGTGCATGCACAGCCTTTTTCCCCATATAAGCAACTGCCCCAAACTCCTAGCAGGTCAGTTCGCGCACTGTTACGGTTTGTGTCTAGATGTGCCCACAAAGCCTCATGCAGTTATAGGTGCTGGGCTTCTTCAGAGGTGGCTGGATCTAGAACGTGTGATGCTGGGACTAACGGTGTGTGATTACTAATCAGTCCACTGATTAGCTTGACGCTGGCGCTAAGCCCAGTAGCTTAGACAGAATATAAACAGGGCAGCCGGAAGCTATCGTCTCTTGCTGGTTGCTACTTCACTACTGGCTGTCTTCGGCTGCCCTGCTTTGCCGTGGGCTGTTTCTTCTCTGTGATGCCCCTCTGCCAGTGATGGACTGATGCCTCTACAAACAGTGAACCAAATAAATCTTCCCTACCTCGGAAAGTCGAGTATTTTGTCTCATCAACGAGAAAAGTAATTCAGACACCCCATTGTGCAGCCACATAACTCTTAATAAAACCTCCTCTGGATGGCACATTTGCCCATTTGGAATTTCTATCAGAAGTACAGAACACTGAGCTGGTACACTAAACTGGCAACATGAAAGCTGAGTGCATGGAAGAACAAGGATGCCAAAAGCCAGCAACCAGGGCTGCCAACAGTGAAGATGGCTAGCAGCAGAGAACAGTGCAGAGCAAGGGAAAATTGTTGGGAGTCGCCATTTCTGGTGGCCAGGACAGAGAGGCCTATTGGCAGCTGCCAGCGCTAAGAGCTGATCTCCATCGCATTCAAAGCTCAGGACTGTCAACACCAAAACAGCTACGCTGTGCCACTTCTAGATTCCAATATAAACTGAGCAAAAGGACTCTCAGCCTGCTAGTAACATCTTGGAAGCCTGGGTGGGGGCCCTCCCCTTAACGGCCTCGAAGAAGAGTGGGCAAGGGTAATGGTCGTCAGCAGTGAAGTGGGTGAAGGACCAGCCCGCGTCTGATTCGTATCTTACATGTGGCTAAAGACCCATACCAGCAGGTGAAGAAATGATGTAGCGTACCATGAAAGGGAGGAAAAATAACTTGTTAAAGAGTCATAAGGAGCTCCTGAGCTATTCAGACTGTGTACTTGCAAGTTCACCTACCTGATATTTGTAACCCCAGAATCAACACCGCAGATTTCCAATCCTTTGAGAAAATGTAGAGTAATTTCAGTCACGTGACAGGTGAGGCATACACAGGCAACTCTCAGTCTTGGTTCCGCTCTCATACTGTCAACAAGTACCCTTTACAGTACACTGAGTACACTATGTCACGCTTTTTTCTATTGGCGACTGGCAATTTCAGTTTAAAATGGCCTCGAAGCCAGGCGTGGCAGTGCACCCCTGTAATCCCAGCACTCGGGAGGCTGAGGCAGGAGGACTGTGCAAGTGCAAGACCAACCTGACCTACAAAGTGAGCTCAAGGCCAGCCTGAACTGCATAGTGAGACCCTGTCTCAAAAAGACAAAAAATTAAAGTGAAATGAAATGAAATGAAAAAATAAAACAAAATAAAATAAAATGGCTTCCAAGGCCTGCTGAAGTACTCTCCCTAAGCATAAGAAGGTTGATATGCCTCAGGGAGTCTATTCCAGAAGTTTCACTGAGCATGAGTTACAGTGCTATTGGACACAAGATCAATGCTAATGACTCAGCAATGTATATTACGATGTGCTTATGTAGAAATACACATAAAGCAAAGTCATGTATTGATCAGTTTAGGTCAACATTGAGGCTACAGGCTCTCAGGAGGCTAACCTTGTCTTTCCTCGATTGTTGCTTCAGTATCCTTTTTGGGGGGAGAGGGGTTTTTTTGAGACAGGGTCTTGCTATGCAGTTCAGGCTGGTCTTGAACTCGCAACAATCCTGCCGCCTCAGCCTCCCAAGTGCTGGGGTTACAGGGGTGCACCACCACGCCCAGCATTATCCTCTAATTTAGTTGCCACCATCTCTTACTGAATCAACCTGAGAATAACAGGAACTGTTATTTGGAAAGCTTTCCATTTAAAGTGTTGGGGGAAATGGAAAACAGATCGAGGACAAAAATATTTGGGGTGTGGTAATACTGAAATTCAGGGGATAGTTCAAGTGTGGACATGTTACTTCACGGTGTAGATGAGTATAACTCCACTTTGTCCCCATGGATATATACTTTGTCCATAAAATTAAAAAGCATATATTTTTAAAACAATAAATTCAGGGGATGAGAGAGTAAGTGAAGATTCTTTAAACCACCAATTCACACACAAATTAGTTTTTTCTAAAATGGAAAGATTATTGTAAGAAAACGAGGATGGGCTGTGGAAACTTGTGTCACAATCCCCTCCCGGTGAAAACACTCTAGGATCACATAAACACTTTCTGGCTTTCTTCCGTGATGCTTCTGGGAGGCCTCCCATCTATCAATCACAGCGGACTATTCACTTCCAGTCAGAGAAGGAAGGAAAAAAATCAATAGTCACTGAAACAGTCATTTCTGGGCTAGAGACACAGCTCAGTGGTACAGGGTGTGCTTAGCAAGTGCAAGGCCCTGCGCTCAATCCCCAGCACCAGATAATAATTTCAATTTCTAATCTTTCCTATTTGGACAAATGACGAAGTGAAGAGACTGCTATGAAAAAACCACAGGGTTGACTGTCTGGACAAACAGGGATAAATGTATACGACTGGCAGAGATTCACATGAAGTAATTAAACTGTGATAAAGCAAGGAAAAAATTCTCCTGAGCGACATTATGGAAATACTTCTTCCATCAGGGAATCTAAATCAAACAGGTGGGGGTCGTGCATCACCAGCAAACATGCTCGGGGCTCCTGACATGGTTTGATATCACTCCTCTTATAGCCTTCAAAATTCATTACGTTAATGCATGCCAATGTCTTATTTATAGAGAAAAACATAATGGGAAGGTCCAGCCTTTTCCATCACTGGCAATAACACAAGGAATATAATAAGGATTTTAAGAAATAAATACAACAATATGCTGATAATACTGGTCACACATAAAAGACAACAACCACTGAACTGGTTTAACAGTGAGATCTTTTATTAAGGGAGTCACATGTAAATTATGAATTCTATAAACTCACAGTATCTCTAAGAGTAGATATCAATATTTAAATGGAAAGTAAACTGAAAAAATTGATTTGCTTACAATAAGAAAATTCATGTCAGAGTCAAGGACAGAAAAAACTCATCATTTTCAGTTGGTCTTCAGGGACATCCTTCTTTTTGTTAGGGATACCCTTCATAAACCTTCAGAATGGTGGGGGTTTTTTTGAGACAGGGTCTCGCTATGCAGTTCAGGCTAGCCTTGAGCTCACTTTGTAGCCCAGGCTGGCCTGGAACTTACAGGGATCCTCCTGCCTCAGCCTCCAAAGTGCTGGGATTACAGGCGTGCGCCATCACACCCGGTCTCATAATGGTATTTTGAAGTCTGAGTATATTACTGTATTTCTCCTTCTTTTAAGAAGGATGAACTGTTTGTTTGATCAATGTACTTGAATAACTGAAAAGTGAAGAACAAATCAATTCTTATGGTTCATTTTTTCAAACACTTAACAGTATTAGAATGTGTGACAAGTAGTATTTATTCCAACAGTTTCTAAGAGAGTAAACAAGTAGTATTAAAATCTGTTGGAAGCAAGACACAGCTGACATTCCGAAGAAAAAACAGGGGATGAACAAGATGGCATCTAGAGAAAGGCACAGCTTTCGGCAACTGCTTCATGCTCTGTGCACAGTATGTCCTCGCAGAGAGGCTACGCAGAGTAAGGCTTGCATTGGAAGTTGCATACACTACTACTGATATTATCCCATTTTAGGACAAAAGGCTCTATAAAATCCCTCTGAGGAAAAAAGTGCAACACAAAATCTTTTTAACAAAGGAAAGCAAAAGGAGCGATAAAGGCTCACAGAATACACACAGTGCAAATACAGTATTTCAGAGCAAGTAAAAGACGTTTTGGATTGGAGTGTGAAATTTCAGTTAAAGGTGCATTTTGCAGCAACTGCTCACTCGAAGCTTCAGAGCTACATTACAGACTTGCAGTTAGTAACTAAGTGGCTGAAATGATTAATTTTTTACTAGGTCATAATAATTCCCTTCAGGAATAAGTGCTTTACCTTTAAACTATTCCACTTTCTGTAACATGGTTCATGCTTCTCAACTGCAGTGGTCTCAGACTTGCTTGCTACACAACTGTGTGACACCTCACAACAGCAGGCATGTCAGAAGAGAACCCCGCAGACCCCTGAAGCTGCTTTTATAGTAGCTCACTGAATAGCCTTGCAGTCTTCACACATTAACCATAAAAACCAAATTTATTTGATCATGTATTATCCCTTCTCCAATAAATTCACAGCAGAGGAAATCTATTTAAACTTTGTTCGTATTTAAAAATCTTCATATAAAAGTCTACTTCTTTAATACAGAAGAACAAACTTTTTCCTTTAAAAAATCTCATTTTTAAGCCAAAATAAATTACAACTTGCAGAAATACCTTTTTAAATGGCTTGGTACATATTCCAGGTATACAGAGGTACATTTTTTACATCTTCAGAAATTAGAGACACTGAGACAGTATTTACCTCTAAAAGACATGATACAATCCTGGCTCTGGGAATAAATCAAGCCTCAAGTGTCAGGAATAAAAAACTGATATTCATCATTCAACCTACATAGTCTCATATTATATACATATTAATAGTCCAGTCAATGAAAAAAGGACAGAAATTTCATAAACCTATTTCATAACTCAGCACAGAAACGTAAAACATTTAATGTACACGGTGTTCCATTTGGCAATGTGTAAATTATATCAAAGAGATAAAAACTTATCTACAAATGGAATGTAACAAAAGGAAAATGTGATTGAAGTGATCTTAGGGGCCAGGGATATAGCTCAGCAGCACAGCGCCTGCCTGGCAAGCGTGAGGTCATGACTTCTATTCCCGGTACAAAAAAAAGAAGTCATCTCAGGTCCAGAGCTCTTCAGTTCTTCCAAATTTGTAGATCAGCGTGCTAGAAAGATATGAGTATAAATTATAAGGAAAAATATGAAAAAGTAACACAACTCACCTCCTAAATATGCTTTGACAGGTACCTTCCTGATCCCTTTGTATCATTTCTAAAATTAAATGAAAGGTCATGGTGGTGTAGTCTAAATTGCTTGTTTTATAATGCTGTTTAGCCAGGATGGTTGAGCTTAATTAAGTATTCCTGCTTAAAACCTAGATACTTAGAAAACTTGTAAAGGAAAGAGACATTTTTCACGATGGCAAAGCATTAGGGCCATTTTATCTCTCTCAAAGCCTACTGCATCTGAACTACAATTACTGAAGCACCCTAAAATAGACCAGGCTGCAGCTCTTCACTCCTTTAATAAGTAAGTACTGTGTGGCAAACATGAGCTATAGGAGAAGCCCCTAGCCAAGTGCTGGGGTAAGCCAGTCAAAATGAACCAATCCACTCCCTAATGGAGCTCAAAGGCTGGTGAGGGAGACAATCAAATACATTTAAAAACCCAACTGAGAAAAAGCAAGTGCTCTATAAAGGAGTGAAAAGTAAGGCTCTGACCTAGTTAGAAGCAGAGAAAAGCTTTCCTGAGGAGGCAGCAACTGAGCAGAGATCAGAAGGGAAAGTGGGAATTAGCTCAGCAAAGGGAGGGTCAGCGACACAGGACCACGAGGCGACTCGTGCACGTGCTGTGTGTGGGGTTTGAAACGTCAGCAACCCAAGAAGGGATGCGAAGCAGGAATCTGGATACAGGAGTTAGGCCTGGAAACACACCAGTGACTCATCAGCACTTAAGCAGTAACTGAAGTCCTAAGCATAAATGCACTACCCTGGAGAGGAAAAGGAGACAGGATAGCTTATATCAATGCCTTGAGAAAGTTCAAGCAGTGCCCAGGAATGGAGGGCAGTGTGCAGAGGGAACAGAGCGGGAGTACCCAGGGACCGGCAGAGGCCCCGCCCCAGTGCTGCATGTGGTGCTGAATCCAGGCCCGGCACAGGGCCAACCTGCCACTCTGCCCCCCTAGCCTCTTGTGGGAAGCAGTCAGTGCGGCTGTGCTGTCCTCCTGAGCAAAGACTTTAGCCTTTGTTGTTTTTTTTTTTTTTTTATGGCAGTACCAGGGATCAAACTCACAACCTTGTGCTTGCCAGGCAGACGTTTATGCCACTGAGCTATGTCCCCAGCCCCTCTGAGCACAGACTTTAGGACACACAGGTTTCTGCTCATCCAGGTGTTATCTGGATAGGACCATCTACCACCATGAAGGGTTAATCTATTTCAACGTAATCTCTAACTATTGCCCCAAGTGGCTGTCAGTCACAGGCCAAGACAGACAGACTCAACAGAGCAGATACTCAAACATCTTTCACAGTCAGGTGTCTGGGCCACACAGCAGTAAGAGCAAGCACAGACGGAGCATGGGAGCCTCCCCACGTTCAGTGCTCAGGAAGCCCAGAGCTGAGAAGGTGTAGAGAAAGCTCCCCAGGAGGAGGCCTGGAGACAGACCCTCAGGAAACTACGAGGCACTGGGAAAAACAGTTCCCAAACCTCCTGGAGAGCTGGGAAACGTTTTCAGTTTCCTGAACAAAGCGGGGAATCCTCAGAATATGTGGAGCATCAGAATAAAAGGAAAAATGTTCAGCAGGACACTGTATTATTATCTTAGAAAGGGGGAAGAATTAGTCCTACAATAAAGCTGCTCTGGTCTGCCCAATAAAGCTTCAAAACATGACTGATAGAATCAAACTGTTTCCAAGTGGCCTAGAGAACAAGGCTAAAAACACTTCATGGAATACCAAAAGCTCCAGCCCCAACAAACTGCATACAAAGCCACAAATGGGGGAAATACATCCAAAATGAAGGGTATACAAAGCAGGGGGATCAACACACACAAACCGAGAAACGACACAGGCAGTTAGACAAGCACACTGAAATAGTCATAAACATACTTAGTATGAACAAGGCAGAAGGATGGATGTTAAGGACATAGAAAGCATATATAAAAGACCCAAGTCAACTTCTAGATATGAAAAATGTGACATCAAAGATGGAAAATTCACTAGATGGGCTTCATAGGTTAGATACTGCTAAAGGACAGGTCAGTGAACTTAAAGATGCAGCAGGAGAAACTTCCAAACTGAGGCGTGAGAAAAAAACAACAGAAACTTTAAAAAAAAGAAAAAATAATTTAAATATATATATATATATATATATATAACTTTTTTTGAGACAGGGTCCCACAGTGTAGTGCAGGCCTCAAACTGAACCGTACAGTCCGGTGACAACAAACTTCTTAGAGCCTCCAACGTTACTCACAGCTCACTCCGGCATGTGCGGCATAGCGTTACCCTCACTGCCATACTCTATGCTTTTCAGAATGGAGTCTGAGGGCATTCTACAAGATTTTCCCTAAGAAATAACTTTAATATTGTTTTATTTGTATACTTATCTTAAAAATCCAATCAGAAAACTCAAACTCAAGACCCACAAAGTTTCATATGTAGTATGTACAGAATGTATCAAACTGCTCGTTGTTTTTCTTTTAACAGAGGTACATGACCAGGCATGGTGGCACATGCCTGTAGTCTCAGCACTTAGGAGGCTGAGGCAGGAGGATCACTGTGAGTTTGAGGCCAGCCTGGGCTACAAAGTGAGGTCAAGACTAGCCTAACTGCATAGTGAGACCCTGTCTCAAAAAGACCAAAAAAAAAAAAAAAAAAAAAGAGGTACATGATATGGTTTCCTAACAAAGCACAGGCTTTGAAAGCAACCCTGCTCTATACAGCAGTCTCAAGGAAGCTCTTATTTCCCCACTAATAAAGCACGAATAACATTTGACATATGTTAAATGGGAATTAAAATCTAATACATATAAAGCATCCAGCAGAGGTCTTGACACAAAGCAGAGCCCCAAATCAGAGGATCTGATATGTTCTTACATAATAAAGACATTTTTACCTTCTCAAAGAAAACCTATACATTGCAATTCCAGGGATTCTCACTTGTTCTATGAACATGCTGCTCTTGTAACAGAGTTGACATTTCTTTAAATGTTGTAGGTGTGGCTAAGAAATTAAGCAACTTACCTAAAAAATATGAGAGCATTTTGAAAAAACACAGCTAGTCCTGGATAAACATCAGTATCTGCACACACAAAGTAAAATGAATTAGAAAATTGCAAACAGCAATAACAGAGTCCTTGTGTCATTCACAATGACATGCTGTGTACAATACATTCTAACTATTACTCATCAACTCTAAGATATCTGTGGTGAAAACAAAATAATAAAATGCCAATTGTTTTCTCCAAAAGACTGCTCTCATTCTAGATAAAAGTTAGTAAACATTATCAGATTTTGTTTATTATTTTTGTTTTTCATAAAGAAATTGCTAAGGGAGTAGGTAAGAAACAAGCCAAGAAGAGCAAGTACAGAAGTTGCCTCTTGTCAGCTACGTAAAAGCTCCAACATTCAGAAGACGAGCTTCAGTGTCTCCACTGGAACACGCTGCCCTGGGGGAGCCTGCAGGTCCAATAATGCACTATTTTGTTTGTAAGAAACGAGCCATCAGATTGCTGGCACCTCCAAGTGTCTTCCAAGCTGGTGAGTGCCTGCCCTGACAGGCACAACCGCATCCAACAATGACTGAGGGAGTCTTTGCTTTAACTACGTGTTGCCAGCCATTCTTCCGTGTCACTAAGTGGCCATCTTATTGGCATAAACTTTCTTCCAAACCTCACATGCCTGAGTGGCCCGGGGCCCTGGGGCCCATTACTATCCGCTTGCAATTTGGCTATGGAGACAGTAGGCAGTGTAGTACTTTTCCTTTGTAAATGCTTCTGGATGTGAAGTAACTTCCACTTCCAGAAGCAGACCAGGAAGGGCTGTGAGTTGAAGCCTTACTCCTGCGGTGCCCTCCAGGAGAAATACAACAGTCACCAGCAGTTCTTCACAATCATGCAACTGACAGGAACATGCAAGCAACCTGAAAATTTTGCTTTCTTGACTTGAGCTAAATGGTCACAGGCGGTGACAGACTCGGGAAGCAACTGCTCAATCTATGCATGAGGAAACTGTAAGAGCCATTCTGAATGCCTAGTTTTTGACACCAGAATTACACAGCTTTTCACAGAAAATAGCAATTTGTACACCAATGTAACTATTTCCATATGTTGAAGCAACAATCAAATATTTTCAAGCCAGGTGTGGTAGCACACGCCTGTAATCCCCAGCACTCAGGAGGCTGAGGCAGGAGGATCGCTGCAAGTGTGAGACCAGCCTGGGTTACAAAGTGAGTTCAAGGCCAGCCTGCACTACATAGCAAGACCCTGTCTCATAAAAACAAACAAAAAAAAAATTACTTAATTTTTAAAAAACAATTTTCAGACTAGTGTTTAAAACTGCTGCATTAGTTTCACAGACAGTAAGGCTGCCCGCCATCTTGAAACTGTTTTGGTTGGTAGAAGCTAGTTCCATGAAGGTAAATAAAAATAAAGGCTATTATCTACAGGAAACAGGTCAGGCGGGGCGGTGCACACCTCTAATCCAGGCACTCTGGGAGGCTGAGGCAGGTGGATCACAAGTTCGAGTGCCATCTAGGAAAATGAGCAAACTAGTAACACCCTGTCTCAAAATAAAAAGTGACAAAATGCTGGAGTGGAAGCTCAGTGTGAAGGCCCTAGGTTCAATTCCCAGTACCGTAAGTAAATAAATACATACAAGCATGCATGCATACATACATACAGGAAAACAGCTGCATGTGGTAACACTAATATATTTTAAGGTAAGTCAACAGTAAACCACTGGGGGAAAAAAAAAAAAAAA